TTATACCCCCTTCCTGCCCAGGTTTTTTTTCAGCTTTCAGCGCTGTCGCACTTTGAATGACAATTGCGCGGTCATGCAACACTGTACCCATATGAAATTTTTATAATTTTTTTCACACAACTAGTGCTTTCTTTTGGTGGTATTTAATCACCCCTGAGTTTATTTTTTTGCTAAATAAAACAAAAAACACCTGAAACTACTGAAAAAAAAACCAAAACGCACTTTTCTTCGTTTCTGTTATAAAATATTGCAAATAAATAACATTTCTTCATAAATTTAGGTCAAAATGTATTCTGCTTCATTTATTTGGTGCAAATAATAATAATAATTGAATTTGTATTTTTTTTTCCCAAATGTTTCTATTTTTTTTTTATTTTGTATTACATTTTTTCCCTATTTTATTTTTCAGCGCACCGTGACCAAAGCAATACAATGTTACCATAGTAACATTGAACTACTCAGGGCAAGTGATCAAAATAGTTTTTTCTTTTTAACACATTACGATTGCTAATACCGATGTATTTCATTGATATTTGCAATCATTGTTACTGAATGAAACTGATTCATTCAGTCTTTTGTTGTGATTAGCTGTGATTGGGCAAAGCTGATCACATGATACAGATGGGCTGTGATTGGCCCTGTCTGTATCATGTGACTGCCTTGACCAGTCACAGCTAACAACATAATTATATACAATGGATGGCATGACAGGAAGCCATCCATTGTATACAATTGACATGTGATCTGCTCTGATTGGTCACATGACACTGGCAACGGGCCGGTGTAGTGATAGGTCATCGGCTGTGTCCCGTGGACACAGCTGGTGACAGATCGCGACGCTGTGCGGCCCAGTGAGCGGCTCGTTTTGACAGGATGTCATATGACGCCCAGTCACAAACACGGCGAGTGTCCCGCCTGAAACATGTAAAAAAACAAAACAAAAAAAAAAAAAACCCCCAAAAAAAACCCCCCCAAAAAAAACAAAAAAAAAAACAACTTTTGTCATTTTAATGGAGAGCACTTGGAAAGCAGTAAAAACGTGCCTCAACCATGTGCATTTTTTACTGCAATCCCATAGCAAGTCTAAATGAGCCCCAAGAGGAGCTTTGAATGGAAAAAAAAAAAGCTTCAGGAAAAAAAAAAATAAAATCATTTTTTATGAGTTATCATTGAATGCTGCATATCATAAATATCTACTTACTTTTTCCTCTTTGCAATTTGTTCTATAGGAATGTCAGAATCGAGTCAAGGAATGCCGCTCATCCATAGGTCAGAGATACATACGCAGATACCTGATTTTACAGAAGTTCCCAACCCCTTTAATACAGCAAAAAGTAATATATAAAGTGCAGTAACCAGCAACTGATTCTTTGGACGGCTCCAAACTGCAGGAAATGCGGTTGCCATGGGTTACGGCACTTTGATTCTTTTGCTCCGCTTCATTAAATAAGCCCGTGTGAATGGAAGGGCTTTTTAGGTCTGGAAGACGGGACACTCAGGGTTAACATGCACAAGTCTACAGGAACTATGAAAGTGACAGACAGACTATACAGAATACATACTGTTCATCCTCGTGAAAATTTATCCTGCAGCAGAATGTTATAAACACACAGATCAATAACCAAAGAAACAAAAAATACAAACATGCTGAAGACAGAACTACAAAGAAGAAAAATTACAGCAATACTGACATAAAAAAATGAAAGATAAAAAAAAAAAAAAAAAAAAAAAAAAACTAGACAAAGGGTTTTTTTTTTTTTTCCGGTCCAAGAAAATTAGTTCATGACTTCAAGTGGAAATTGAATCTACTTTTTAAAATCTGCAAGACAGCCAAGTGTATGAGGAGGCCAGAAGGTCCGACAGTTCCAACTCACCCATTCTTAAAGTAGAGCACATGAGCTCTCTGGAGCCCGGTCTCCAGGAAGAAGCTCATCTCCTGGTCTGGAGCAGCAGGCCCCGGCTTCGGACTCCGGTTCTGGATATTTGCGGTTTGGGCCTGTGGAGGAAAAAAAAACAATAAACATTGTGACTGGGGGCGACAGGGCAAAAGATCCTCAAACCATCACAGGAACACAGAAAGGGTTAACCTGGAAACAATGACATAGAACCACACTAAGGATTGAGTCCCCCATCAACACAGTAGAATGTTGACGAGAGGGAAAACGAGGAACCAGGGAAGGTTCTCCCAATTGGTGGAAAAACTTGATCAATTTCTATGGAGTTTATTGTTGCTTCAATTCTAATTCTGTTCCACTACCAATAATCAATACAAGCCCAGGTTTGACTTCACACTCAACTGAATTCTGGTTGTGAGAAGTAGATTGATTAGCTTTCAATGCTTACTTAGGATTGTATTCGCATTTACTGGTGGAGGGAAAAATGGCGTATGGTCTACAGTGCAATCACACAGCACAGTCTAATGCAGGCCATACACGGGTCGAATTCCAAAAAATTTTCTTTAGAAAATCAGAATTTTTATGCGTTTTGTAATCTGATGATGCCACCATTGATTTCGAAATTCAACCAACCGAGCCTTCAATTTCCTCATGTTGCTACAGAAAAGAGTTTTCGTGGCCAAGAATTTTCTTTTCTTTCCAGGTAACAGCTGAAGCTTATTTCTTTTTCATTTATATTTCTCACACAATTCTCCCATAATTGATTTGAAATTTGTTCGTTTTCAAAAAATTTCCAATGTGCCCGATCACTCAAATTCGATGGCGACACAAAAATCGCCCGTTTCTGTGGCCCACTAACGGTGCAAAATTCAAATGAAAATTCTTCGAAAAGATTTTCGGAAAGAAAATTCTTCGAAAAGATTTTCGGAAAGAAAATTCTTCGAAAAGATTTTCGGAAAGAAAATTCTTCGAAAAGATTTTCGGAAAGAAAATTCTTCGAAAAGATTTTCGGAAAGAAAATTCTTCGAAAAGATTTTCGGAAAGAAAATTCTTCGAAAAGATTTTCGGAAAGAAAATTCTTCGAAAAGATTTTCGGAAAGAAAATCCTTCGAAAAGATTTTCGGAAAGAAAATTCCTTCGAAAAGATTTTCGGAAAGAAAATTCTTCGAAAAGATTTTCGGAAAGAAAATTCTTCGAAAAGATTTTCGGAAAGAAAATTCTTCGAAAAGATTTTCGGAAAGAAAATTCTTCGAAAAGATTTTCGGAAAGAAAATTCTTCGAAAAGATTTTCGGAAAGAAAATTCTTCGAAAAGATTTTCGGAAAGAAAATTCTTAAAAAGATTTTCGAAAAGAAAAGATTTTCGGAAAGAAAATTCTTAAAAAGATTTTCGAAAAAAATTCTTAAAAAGATTTTCGGAAAGAAAATTCTTAAAAAGATTTTCGGAAAGAAAATTCTTAAAAAGATTTTCGGAAAGAAAATTCTTTCGCAATTCGACCTGTGTATGGCCGGCTTAAGAGTATAAACACTCATCTGCCCATCAAGGTAAACTTCGCACTTCCCTGGCGTGTAGCTAAAGTTTTGGAAGCAACACAGATCCAATATAAGTCGAGCAAGTCTTTACTGCACATGATGAGAAGTCAAAAGAAAAATTCCACGTATTTCAGGGACTCAAAGTCTCCACTTCTTCAGGGCAAAGCTGATGGTAGCAAATAATAAAAAAAAACCTGGGCAACGGTAAGACAGTCAACGCGGTAATACCAAGTCCTGTTAAATGTGTCTTCTGTGCTCTTCAAGGCCATCATCGGGCTCTCCATATGACCGATGGGAGACCATTTTGCCGCGACTGTACCATCCTTGGCACAATGGTCTCCGAAGGTCAAAGACCTCCGTCATATGGAGACCCCAACGATGGCCTTGAAGAGCACAGAAGAGACATTTAACAGGACTTGGTATTACTGGCTTGAGTATACTTGCTCTGCTGAATTTGAATGCACCCTTTGGGGCCATTCACCTCCTCTATCCCCACAGCAGAGAGATGTGAAGTCAGACAAGGAGCCGGTCATACTTAAATGTGGGCTGCCCTGGGGATAATGTTGCCATGTGAAGGCCATTGTCACCCTATCAGCTAAGACCAGGCTAGGGGAAGGTTTCACACCTGCCCATCCCCTCTTTCGGAGACATCTATTCTTCTTCTTGTTATTTTTCCCCCCTTTTCTCTTTCCCCTCTCTCTTTTCTTCAACGCCCCCCCCTTTTTTGTTCCTAAACCTAGGTCTAAATTTTGTACCTTGATAATACGGTATCATTGATGATGGTGCATGTGGCCACCCAAGCTGTTTACCAATGTGGTGGATGACCAGTTTCATCGTCTGTGTTGTTTGAGAGACACTTTTTCTAAAATTTGGATTTCTGATACTGCTATGTACTGGTCAAATGGTCTATATTTATTATTTATTTCAGGTACTTGTATAGAGCCATCAATTTACGCAGCGCTTTACATATATATTGTACATTCCCTAACAAAGGTCCCTAACCCTCAAGGGGTGTACAATCTAAGGTCTAAGGTCCAATCTAAGGTCCCTAACCCTCAAGGGGCGTACAATCTAAGGTCCCTAACCCTCAAGGGGCGTGGTCCCTAACCCTCAAGGGGTGCACAATCTGAGGTCCCTAACCCTCAAGGGGCGTACAATCTAAGGTCCCTAACCCTCAAGGGGCATACAATCTAAGGTCCCTAACCCTCAAGGGGTGCACAATCTGAGGTCCTAACCCTCAAGGGGCGTACAATCTAAGGTCCCTAACTCACATTCATACATACACATACTAGGGACAATTTAGACAGGAGCCAATTCACCTACCAGCATGTCTTTGGAGTGTGGGAGGAAACCGGAGTACTCGGAGGAAACCCACGCAGACATAGGGAGAACATGCAAACTCCAGGCAGGTGGTGCCATGGTTGGGATTCGAACCAACGACCCCAGTACTGCCAGGCGGAAGTGCTAACCATTTAGCCACTGTGCTGCCCATATACCCGTGTTGTTTTTTTCTCATACCCGACAGAGAGTGAGTTGCATTTTATTTTTTTTTTTTTGTTACTGTAACTTTTTTCCTGTAAAAAAGAAAAATGTTCTTAACCACTTGCAGACTGCCCACCTGCAATGCACTGCGGACGGGTGGCAGCCGTAGGCTGAAGTACCCATAAATTGCTGCCTGCTTCTGGGTTTTAGGCAGGAACCCCCCTGCCTGTCTGTTTCCGCTGACTGTACACAGCGGGAGCCTGTCAGCAATTCCCGAAAATGATTTACGGCTGGGGTCTGCTGATCGGCTGTGTCCGATCACAGCCCAGAGCTCTGTGTTGACAATCAACACAGACCTCTGCAGCGAGGGAAGGATCTCTCTGTTTCTCAGTCCTGCAAAGCAGGGATAACAAACTAAGAGATCATTAGTAAAAAGCAGCAAACATTACACATAGGTAGATACACACTTAACCCCTTGATCGTCCTAGGTGTTAACCCCTTCCCAGCCAGTGTCATTAGTACAGTGACAGTGTATAGTATTAGCACTGATCATTGTATTAGTGTCACTGGTGATGTCAGTGGCAGTCAGTTCCCCCCCCCAGCGTCCATTACTGTCAGATTCCCGCCACACTATTGCAGTGTATTGATTAGTAGTACATACAAAATTCTAGTATATATACACAACGTAGTTTGTAGACGCTATAAATTTCATGCAAACCAATCAATATTCACTTACTGGGATTTTTTTTTTTATTGAAAACATGTAGCAGAATATATTTTGGCTAAAATTTATGAAAAAATGTGATTTTTTTTTTTATTGGATATGTTTTGTGGCAGAAAGTTAAAAAAAAAAAAATTTCTTTACATTTTCTGTCTTTTTTTTTTTTTAGTGTATATTGCAAAAAAAACAAACAGTGGTGATCACATACCACCAAATGAAAGCTCTATTTGTGTGAAAAAAAATTGTATAAATTTTGTTTGCGTACAGCGTTGCATGATTGCACAATTACCAGTTAAATAAGCACAGTGATGAACAGCGAAAAATGGCCTGGTCATGAAGGGGGAAAAATTTTCTGGAGCTTAAGTGGTTAAAGAGTATGTAAACGCAACATTTCATATTGCTGATATGTACTTGCTGTACTATGTACTTGTATGAAGGAGTCTCCTGTTCTCTTTGTGTTGCTTCCTTTGTGTGAAATCCCCGGTGTTCCCGCCAGTCCCTCTACTTTCCTATTAAAAACTGACCACCCCAAGCAGAAAAGCAGAGCGTGGTCAGTTTTCTACGAAGGGGAAATTTTAAGCACCGGATATACATTGGCATTTTTCTTTTGACGGTTTGTAAAACTGGGTACACACTATAAGAAATTCAAATGAACGATCGTCCGGTTTTCCTCGATGTTTCACAGCAAGTCGAACCAGAGGATGGTATTAAATATAGGAAAACTTCTCTGGTATAGTAGATACGTTGTTCCTTATACTGAAGGATCTTCAGGCTCTGATGTGCTAGGGTACGGGTTGTATTGCTGAATCTGATCACATGACTCTGAGCATCTTGTACATCTGTAATGTCATTTTGCACGATCTTTGTAACTAAACAGTTTTTGGATTATATGTCCTATAGCCTCAGTTATTGTACTTTTGTTTTTCTTAGTTTTTTTGTACTTGCTGCTCACTTGATGTTCAGCTTGGTGTCAGCATACTATTGTTCCATGTAACGTTTATGTTTCCTGCTTGTTGTTTTGTTTATATGACATGCAAAAATACCTTGATTAACCACCTCCCGGTGTATATAAACGGCCTCCCCGCAACATGCTTGTGCGCGCTCGCAGCACCGCGATCCGGTGCCCGCTGTGTCCTCCAGACACAGTGGAACACCGATCGTCGGACGGGACCTCTGCGCGAGGTCCCGATCATGTGATCACTGATTGGCCAATCAGTGATCACATGCAAAGTAGTAAGCAAGATGTCACTTCTGACATCATTGCTTACTACGTGTGAAATCTGTGAATGATCCCAGAGATCACATGGTCAGGGCCATTCACAACAGCCTTGTACCATGTGACAAGCTGTGACCAATCACAGCTCACTCAGTAGTTCTCAATGGCTGCAAGAATGCAGCCAGAGAGAAGGAGAAATGATTGCTTTTACAGCCTTTATGGGTGTAAAAGCAATCAGTGTAAAAAAAAGAAAAAAATCTTCATCACCCCCCCCCCCAAGTAGTACAGTGTCACCATGGTGACACTGTACTGCTAGGGTGACAGTATGTAAAAAAAATAAATAAAAAATAATGAAAAAATGTTTAAAAATTTATAAATTTTGGTTATAAACTAATTTGGGTTTTTTTTTTTTACTAAAAAGATAACGGAATACATTTTGGCCAAGATTTAAGATGAAATATTATTTATTTGCAAAATCTTATAAGAAAAACACTTTTTTTTCAAAATTTTTGGACTTTTTCATTTACATAGCAAAAAAAAATAAAAATCCCAGCGGTGAATAAAGACCACCAAAATAAAGCTTTATCTGTCTCAAAAAAATGCTAAAACATTCATATGGGTACAGTGTTGCATGACCGCGCAATTGTCATTCAAAGTGTGATAGAGCTGAAAGCTGAAAATTGGTCCTGGACTGGAAGGGGGTAAAAAAAAAAAAAAAAAAAGTATAGGAAAATTCTCAGATGAAGATTTTTTTTTTTTTGTTTGATGTAGAAACGTTGTAGCATAGATTGTAGTTTATTGTTTTTGATCTTGCCTGGTCTTGTGTACCTGATTTTTCTCGAAAAATAATAAAACGAAAATCCTTAGCTCTGTTCACGTACGAGAAAATTGTGGCGTTTGTCCTTTTGGAAATTTTTGTTTGGAACGTCTGAATTGGACGACAAAAGCTATACAAAAATCGAATGATCGTTCCTCGTACGGAATGTTTCTTCCGGTTTTCTTACAGTTTGTACCCAGCTTAATGTACAACAAAAGACTTCCAGGACCTGCATTAGTTCTGCGTCACTCCCATCCTCTATATCAGGGGAGTGCTACTGTGGCCCTCCAGCTGTTGTAGAACTACAAGTCCCATGAGGCTGTGCAAAACTGACAGTTACAAGAATGACTCCCAAAGGCAGAGGCATGATGGGACTTGTAGTTCACCAACAGCTGCAGGGCCACAGTTGCCCACCCCTGCTCTATATTGTGACGGGAGTGACTTTGGGTGGGGGGCCCATGGAACACAGCTCACTTTGGAGAGGTGGGGAGACCCCTGCCTCAGCTCCCCATATGCCTCTTATGTGTAAGTCACCCTGTGCCTGTTAAGGGTGCAGGGTGAGATGTCCTGATATTGTGTAGACATGTATAGGTGGGGTGGGGGGTTGTTGATTGTTTAGTGCCATGTGGCTGTATCCCATTGTTCTATTGTGTGTCTTGCTTGGGAGCAAACTATTATGGGATGTATGTGTTTGTGTATTGGCTTGGTGGGGGGTGTCTGCTGATGTGTCTCTTGTTACTAAATGTATTGCCCGCCCTGTGTATATATCTTGTATCTGTGTTAAAATAAAGCAGTCTATTTCCTGGTTTAATACAAGACTGGTGTCATCTTGTCTTGTATGGTCAGCGGTGGGGTCCGTGGACGGTGTTTGGACAGGGAAGCGGGAGACTAACGGAAATATCCCTAGTGCAGTCGGGGTCCAGTTCTGTTACATACATACTTTAGACAGCACCAGGGACCTCCAAAGTTACTACCATAGACAGAGAATGGCTTCCGAAACTTAGACTTTCAGCCTCCTACCTACCTCTGGGGTCCAGTGTTCTGTCAACACACCTACCGGCATATACCTGGAATGGCTGCCTTCATTTTCCAGCGGACCACTTCCACTCCCGGGACAGTCGTAAAGTCCGCATCTTCAGATCAATACCAGCATAGAACTCTCTCACATTTATTTCTGCAAGCAATGATAATTTTCTTTAATAATGAGCTTTTTTTTATATGTCTGCGAGGGCTGAGGGGAACACTTCTACGAATGGAGTTTATGAAGGCATCTATACTTGTCAAGAAATTGGCGATGGGCATGTGAAAAAAATTGGAATTTACTACTTTTTGATTTAACGGGTAATGAAAGTGCGGTCCCTCGTGTTTCTGTGTTTATACTCAACGCATGTGGCACAAGTCATTGGAAGGAGCAGTAAATTTCTTGGGTTTTTTGATGCTGTTATTTAAAGCGGAGCTCCACCCAAAAGGGGAAGCTCCGCTGTAATGCTTTTTTGTCCCCCGCTGCCCATTAAGGATTGGCACTTTTGGGGAGCGTGTCCCAGAAGACTCCCCGTAGTCTTCTGGGACACGTGGTGACAGATCCCAGTAGACTCCCCATAGTCTTCTGGGACACGTGGGACAGATCCCAGTAGACTCCCCATAGTCTTCTGGGACACGTGGTGACAGATCCCAGTAGACTCCCCATAGTCTTCTGGGACACGTGGCGACAGATCCCAGTAGACTCCCCATAGTCTTTTGGAACACGTGGTGACAGATCCCAGTAGACTCCCCATAGTCTTCTGGGACACGTGGTGACAGATCCCAGTAGATTCCCCATAGTCTTCTGGGACACGTGGTGACAGATCCCAGTAGATTCCCCATAGTCTTCTGGGACACGTGGTGACAGATCCCAGTAGACTCCCCGTAGTCTTCTGGAACACGAGGCAGGTCCCAGAAGACTCCCCGTAGTCTTCTGGGACACGTGGTGACAGGTCCCAGAAGACTCCCCATAGTCTTCTGGGACACGCGACAGGTCCCAGAAGACTCCTCGTAGTCTTCAGGGACACGCGACAGGTCCCAGAAGACTCCCCATAGTCTTCTGGGACACGCGACAGGTCCCAGAAGACTCCCCGTAGTCTTCTGGGACACGCGACAGGTCCCAGACGACTCCCCGTTTCTTCTGGGACACGCGACAGGTCCCAGACGACTCCTCGTTTTCTTCTGGGACACGCGACAGGTCCCAGACGACTCCTCGTTTTCTTCTGGGACACGCGACAGGTCCCAGACGACTCCTCGTTTTCTTCTGGGACACGCGGACAGGTCCCAGACGACTCCTCGTTTTCTTCTGGGACACGCGACAGGTCCCAGACGACTCCTCGTTTTCTTCTGGGACACGCGACAGGTCCCAGACGACTCCTCGTTTTCTTCTGGGACACGCGACAGGTCCCAGACGACTCCCCGTTTTCTTCTGGGACACGCGACAGGTCCCAGAAGACTACGCGGCAGGTCCCAGAAGACTCCCCGTAGTCTTCTGGAACACATGACAGGTCCCAGAAGACTACAGGACCATTCACAAAGCACAGTGTTTCTCGCGCATGCGCAGTGGGTGCCCACACTAAAGATGGCAGGGCGCCAGGGAAAGAAGGCGGCCGGTGAAATCAGCGGTGGTGAGGACACCGCTGGACGGGGGGGGGGGGCTTAGCGGGGGTTAGTGCAAACTGTTTTGCTACCAAGGGCAAGTTGCTGGTGCTGCTTGAAAAAAAAGCCAGTACACCCGCCATGTGTCAAGTTAGGTAAAAGCAGAGTGGAAGTCGTTTTGGGGGTGTGCCGCAGGGTTCGTTCATGACAATCCCAGCCAAGACGAGGCATAGAGCAGAATTAAAGGAGAGTGTTCCATCCCCGGCAATCACACTAAGCTCAGAGGGGTGTGGCATGGAGTAGTGAAGATGCAAATTTCTCAATCTGTGTTTAACATGGAGAAATTCGGACCTTTGATTTTGTACTTTAGAGGTGAAAATCAGGAAAGATAAAAACTTCTGAGTTGTTAAAGATGAATTCCAGGAATTCAGATCCTTTGTGAAATGTGAAGTCACACTATTAGTTACGTCCATGGAGCTGCCTGACACCTCCTGGACTTATCCCTGTTACTTACATCTGACAGCCTATTGCACTCCCGGAAGACGGCTATCGCTGTATTTCTGGGATCCCAACGCTGATGCTTCAGGTCTAAGCATCTTCAACATTAGAGTCGGTGCAGCTGCTATGCCCGCCCATCCTCCTGCCCATTCACAGATGCCTTTGTATTATGTGACCTCATTTTCACAAAATACAAAGGCTTCTGTGAATGGGCAGCAGAGGGGAGAGGTGGGCATAGCTGCTCTGTATGCCTCTCTCACAGCCCCGTGTGTGTCAGTGTATACTCCTGCAGAGCAATACACCTGTCAGATATAAATAGGAGAGAGAAGTCTGGGAGATGTCCTAGTGCAGTGATGGCGAACCTTTTTGAGCCCGAGTGCCCAAACTGCAACCCAAAAGTGTGCAACTTATTTCTTTCAAAGTGCCAACACTGCAATGAAACCTGAATATCGAGCTTTTGGTTTAGAAAAAAAAACTCGTTTTTAGTAGTGCAAACTAATTAACAGTACAGGAATGACTTCAGAGACTGCGGACAGCACAGGGATGACCATGAGACTGCGGACACGGTACAGGGATGACCAGAGACTGCGGACACGGTACAGGAGATGACCAGAACTGCGGACACGGTACAGGAGATGACAGAGACTGCGGACACAGTACAGGGATGACCAGAGACTGCGGACACAGTACAGGAGATGCACACGGACAGTACAGGGATGACCAGAGACTGCGGACAGTACAGGGATGACCAGAGACTGCGGACACAGTACAGGGGCATGACCAGAGACTGCGACACAGTATACATGACCAAGACTGCGGACACAGTACAGGGGATGACCAGAGACTGCGGGAACAGTACAGGGGTATGACCAGAGACTGCGGACACAGTACAGGAGATGACCAGAGACTGCAGACACAGTACGGGATGACCACTGAGACTGCGGACACAGTACAGAGGGATGACCAGAACTGACCTGACACAGTACAGTGCACCAGAGACTTTCCAGTACAGGAGATGACCAGAGACCCGGACAGTTTCAGGAATGACCAGGGAGCAGACACAGTACAGGAACGATGACCAGAGACTCGGACACAGTACAGGAGATGATGAGATAAGAGACTGCGAAAAGTACAGGAGATGACCAGAGACTGCGGGACAGTACA